TGGTATAGGGATCAACAGTCTTCTAGTTCCACTGTGTCTGTCGCACACACAGGTACATCTTTTGCTGGTCTGACCCAATCTTCTTCTGGTCCTTAGGTTTTTTATTCAGGAGTCACTGATCATATTACTGGTAACAAATATTTGTTCTCCTCTTTATCCTCTCCTGATCATTTACATTTTGTTACACTGGCTGATGGCTCTAGAGTATCATCTCATGGTGTTGGAACTGTTAAAATTTTCCCTTCTTTAACTATTGATAATGTTCTTTATGTCCCTGGGTCTCCTTTTAACCTGTTATCCATCAGTCGTCTAACTCGTTCTCTTGATTGTGTTGTTTCTTTTACCAACAATTCTGTGTGTTTACAGGACCGGAGTTCGAAACAGGTGATTGGCACAGGATGTGAGTCTCATGGTCTTTATCATCTTCGTCCTTTTACACATGTTTGTGCAGTTATAGAGTCTCCATCTCTTCTCCATGCTCAGTTAGGTCATCCAAGTCTTGCCAAGTTATTACAACTTGTCCCTACCTTATCTAAATTGTCTAGTTTGGCATATGAGTCGTGTCAATTAGGCAAGCATAGTCGTACTTCCTTTCCTCATAGTGTCACACGTGGTGTTTCGTCCCCATTTGTCGTGGTTCACTCTGACATTTGGGGACCTAGCCGCGTTAAGTCTACTTTAGGTTTTCAATACTTTGTTACTTTCATTGATGATTATTCCAGATGCACTTGGTTATTTTTGATGAAAAATCGTTCTGAATTATTTCATATCTTTCAAACTTTTTTCAATGAAATTCAAACTCAGTTCGGTGTTTCTATTAGAGTTTTACGCAGTGATAATGGTCGTGAATATCTTTCTCATTCTTTTAAACAATTCATGGCTTCTCATGGTATTTTGCATCAAACTTCTTGTGCTATACACCTCAACAAAATGGTGTAGCTGAATGTAAAAATAGACATCTTATTGAAACAACTCGCACTCTTTTAATTCATGAAGAGGTTCCTCAGCATTTTTTGGGTGATGCTCTTCTTACTACATGTTATCTTGTTAATTGCATGTCATCTTCGGTTTTAGATAATAAAATACCTCATTCCATTTTATTCCCTCATGAACCACTTCATCCCTTACCTCTAAAAGTTTTCGGGTCTACATGTTTTGTTCATAATTTCAGTTCTGGTCTTGACAAGCTTTCTCCTAGATCACATAAATGTGTTTTCTTAGGGTTTACAAGATCACAAAAAGGATACAAATGTTTTTCTCCTTCTCTTAACCGTTATTTTGTGTCTGCAGATGTCACCTTTGATGAGTTCTCTTTTTATTTTAAAAGTCAATCTTCACCTCTATCCCCATCCAATCTTGTCAACACTCCTAGTACATTTAATGTTCCTATTGTTTGTGACCCTCTAACTGTGTCTTCTTCACCATTAGTTTCTACTCCGCAGTCAGCTTCTTCTTCACTGCCTCTTCAGGTTTATAGTTGCCGAAACCAATCACAACCACCATCATGTGACTCTACTCAAGTGTCAACTACTTTGTCTCCTCCGGATGTGACACCTGAGTCTGACCTTTCCATTGCCCTCCGAAAAGGTATCTGTTCTACACGTAATCCCTCTCCCCATTATATTGGTTTGAGTTATCATCGACTGTCATTACCTTTTTATACATGTATTTCCTCTCTTTCTTCTGTGACCATTCCAAAAACTGTCCGTGAAGCTTTAGCTCATCCTGGTTGGCGTCAGGCCATGTTAGATGAATTAAGTGCTCTTCATAATAGTGGAACTTGAGAATTGGTCTCGTTACCGTCTGGGAAATCTATTGTTGGTTGCAGGTGGGTGTTTGCTATCAAAGTTGGACCTGATGGTACTAAAGCTCGTCTTGTGGTCAAAGGTTATACTCAAATTTTTGGGTTGGATTATGGAGATACCTTTTCTCCTGTGGCAAAGATGACTTCTGTTCGTTTATTTATCGTCATGGCCACTCTTCAACAATGGCCTCTTTATCAACTAGATGTTAAAAATGTTTTCCTCAATGGTGATTTGCAAGAAGAAATCTATATGGAGCAACCTCCAGGGTTTGTTGCTCAGGGGGAGTCTTCTGGGATGGTATGTCGTCTTCGCAAATCGCTATATGGCCTAAAACAATCTCCTAGGGCCTGGTTTGGAAAGTTTAGCAAGGTTGTTCAACAATTTGGTATGACTCGGTGTGAAGCAGATCACTCTGTCTTTTATCGACACTCAAGTGCTGGATGTGTTTACTTGATAGTATATATTGATGACATCGTTCTTACAGGTAGTGACAACCATGACATCTCTCAGTTGAAACAACATCTTTGTCACCATTTTCAGACCAAAGATCTTGGCAAACTTAGATATTTCTTGGGTATTGAGGTGACACAGTCCAATGATGGTATTGTTATATCTTAGAGGAAGTATGCCATGGATATTTTGGAGGAAACTGGGTTGATGAATTCAAAGTCTGTTGATACGCCCGTAGATCCCAATACTAAACTTCTACCAAATCAGGGGGAGCTTATACCTGATCCTGAGCAGTATAGAAGATTGGTTGAAAAATTGAATTATCTTATAGTTACTCGTCTTGACATTTCCTTTGCAGTCAGTGTGGTAAGCCAAATTCTTAATTCCCAATGTGAAGATCATTGGAATGCAGTCATTCGTATCTTAAAGTATATTAAAGGATCTCCTGAAAAATGATTGTTATATGATTCTAATAACCATACAAAAGTTGTTTGCTACTCAGATGCTGATTGGGCAGGATCTCCTTCATATAGAAGATCTACATCTGGATATTGTGTCTCCATTGGTAGTAACTTGGTCTCATGGAAAAGTAAGAAACAAAGTGTTGTGGCAAGATCTAGTGCAGAAGCATAATATAGAGCTATGACCTCAGCTACTTGTAAACTTGTTTGGCTCAAGCAATTGCTTAAAGAGTTACAATTTGGAGATGTCACTCAAATGTCACTTGTGTGTGACAATCAGGCTGCTCTTCATATTAGTTCTAATCCTGTCTTTCATGAGAGGACTAAACACATTAAGATTGACTGTCATTTCATTCGAGAAAAGATTATGTCTGGAGACATCAAGACTGAGTTTGTTAACTCAAGTGATCAGTTAGCAGATATTTTTACTAAATCTTTACGGGGTCCTAGAATTGATTATATTTGTAACAAGCTTGGTACATACGATTTGTATGCTCCAGCTTGAGGGGAGTGTTAGATATTGTTTAGATATTATTTGATATTGTTAAGATATTGTTAGATATTATTAACCACAATATCAAACAATATCTTTTGTTTATTCTCGTTACTTTCAGTGACTCTTTTAGTTGTATCTCTCTACTATAAATAGATTACCCTATGTGTGATTTATATACAAGTGAGATTAATCCCAAACTCTATTTCTTCTATATTTAACACATCGTATACATGAAAAAATAAATATATTTATATAATTTTCAAACCTTTTTAAATTTATATATTTAAAAAATTTTAGTAAAAATAATTTATATTAATTTTATTATTATGTTTCATATATATATATATATATATCATTATTTTATTTTAAATCGTACATTACATATTAAAATGAAGAGATTAATAGAAAATATAATTAATTTTTAAATTTTGTAATATTAAAAAAACCATTTATGATCACAACTCACTTTATTTACATTGTTAAAAAAAAAAAAAACTTATACTGACCTGATAATTTGAAAATGTTTTTCTTTTAATTATTCTAACTGTTATCTTTAACTCAAAAATTTATCTATTTGCAAATCTATGTGGATGATCAAAACATTAACCACCGTAACTCACTAGCGAGGAAGACATTGGGAAACACAAAGGAGAGTGAAAAAAAAAAAAAAAAAACTTTTCTTATTGGTTTGTGATCAGGTGAGGAAGACTATGCATGACTTTGTCAAATTGTTATTTTGCACATAACACTGTTTAAGGGTCCACAAAATAACTTTGTGATACCCTTAATTAAACTCGAGAGAGAGAGAGTTTTCATTTATTACAAAATGGATATGTTTGGTAGCATGCTGGGTGCCCCCTCCTCCCTACAAAGTTGTCTTTGAGTCCATTTTTTTCTTCCAAACTGCAAATTGTGAAGCAATAAGACCAGTCTCGAGACAAGCACAGCCAGCTATTTATGATCTGTGGCATTCCTCTTACTTGTCAATAGGGTAATAATAAAGGAGTTTGTTTGTTTGTTAGTTAATTGTTCATATTTGTGATCTTTGTTACGGATCAGTCAATAGGGTTAGAGATTAGTTAAAAAGTGCTGAATTATATTTCATAATAAAAAGACAAATTATATATTAGTTAATTTTTGTACATGAATGTTTGGTGAACATCAACTGATGAATGATTTTGATCGAGAAATATATGTTAAACATAGACTTTAAAGAAAAATAAAATAAAAGATGCTATTGTAAATTGGATTTTCCTCATTGAGCCACCCCTAACGAGAGTAAAAATATATTATTTATGACAAAACAAGTTGGAGAAATGTAAAAAAGCTTCTACTCCGTATCTTATTATAATCTGCATACACATATGGTCCGTGCAAACAAAAAGGAATGGAGTATCAAACAATTGTTTCGTACATTTTATGCCACCATTTTAAACAAAGAAAAATGATCTTTAATGTTTTTTCCATCTCCCCTGGCCAAAAAGAATCAAACTTGGTTCATTGTTAGATTTTAATATTTGTTGGTTCGTACATTACACTGACCTTGGACATTATATTCCCATCAAAAAACAAAGACAGCTCTCACATCATGAAATTAACATGTATAACAGTGAAACACAATGTTTGAGTCATCCTATGATCTAATTTCTGTTGGCGCATGATTAACCTAGGTGACATCCTACTGTTGGCACAAGTCTCGACAAGGCCACCATGAAAACACTCACACTCAGACTAAGACAATATCACTCTAACTTCAAAGGGCATTGCATGTGCATAAGCGAAGAGTACCTCTAGTACTTTTATTGTTTGGGATTCAACTGAACTACTTGAACCTTTAGCTGCAGCAACTTTGTCAGAGATGAAAGGCTCCTTTTGAAAAAAATATTAGTATACTCATCAAGAGTTGAATAGGTTTTAAACGAAAATGTAGGAGAAAATTCTGCAACATACATAGATCCATAGAGATAGGGTTTGTTGGGTAGCTGAGCAGAAGAAGTTGTTGGGTGGTTGGAGTAATGGAGTAGAAAGATGGTCCAAAAGCACACAAGGGTTGAGTCCAAAAGCATGTAATTAAGCAGGAGCCAGAAAAAACAGTGCTTTTGTACGTGCTTTCCATGTTCATATATGGATTCGCAAATTGCAAAGCAGACTGCTGAGAAATAATGACGGTACAGGACATGGGGCTAAAGGCCGACACACCATTTAATAATATACAATTTTTTCTTCATTTAAAATCATAATACTTTTTTTTTTTCAATAAAAGTTGTTTTCACTTTTTTAATTTTTTTTTAAAATATATCTCTAAATATAATTAAAAATAAATAAATAAAATATAGTATTATTAAATGTGCATAAAATATATTTTTTCAATAATTAGATTTGAAGTTGAAATTGATATAAACCATTGAACTTTCTTAAGTCAATTTTAAAATCTTTAGTTTCTTTATTATTTTAATTTAGTAAACCTCTTATTGATTTTAATCATCTTATCTTGTTCAAAATTAAATAACACAGTAAATGAATACATTCATAATAAATGAATTATGAAACAGATAACAATACCATGTTTTGAAAGCCATACCAATTAGTGATTTAATGAATGCTATTTTAATGGTGTTAAAATGTTGAATGTTAGAAGTGTTCATCAGAAAGATATTTTTACGTTGCATGATAAGAAAGGTACTTTTTTTATGAGTTTTGAACTTTCAAAATGTATATAATAGACTATTCAAATAATCTAAATAATTTAAATAAATATATCATACAGAGAGCATGAATCAAATACAAAAGTTTAATTATAGATTTAATTAGGATAGAATTAATTTACATAAAATGTGATTATTTTAATTTTTAATATGATAATATAATATGTAAAATAATAAAAATAAAATACATATAAATTTATAAAATCAAAATCAAGCTTCATTTAAAAATATCATCAGTTATAACATATATAATAAAAGTAAGTCATATATAGAAGTAAACAAATATAATATATCATATTTTAAAGTTCAATAATAATAAATAAAATATATTAATAACTACAAATCTTTTGAAAAATCAAATGATAAAAAAAAAAACACTTTCTTAACTAATTAGTTGAACATTTTTTTTTACAATTTTCATGGTCAATTCGACCGGTTTAATTTCGATCCAAATAAATCTGTTTTTAGGAAGATATTGATCAATTAAACTAGTTTGCTTTGACTAATCTATACCTCCTGATTTCACAAAAAACAGCGACCATTGATTAATACCTGAGTAAAACATTGTCGAATTGTTTGCTCTCGTTTTAATCAATTGAAAAAAAAAAAAAAAAAAAGAGTTTGGTAAAGGTAAGTTTTCATTTACATAAAGTTTCTTTTGTTGAATGAATTTGTATATATTCCTTAATTGGCATGCATGTGCTTGATCATTTTATGAGTGCATATCAAGTAACGTGAACGGTAAACACTCAAAACAGGTCAACAAAACTACATGGGTATCGTCACATGGAACATTTTTTTTCTTTTATTTTTGGTTATATTTTTCTCTTTTGCAAATTTGGTTAATGTTGTGTCTATCTACATATAGTGTCATTCACAAATAGAAAACCATAGATGTGATAAGTTTGTAATGAGACATATATATATATATATATATATATATATATATATATATATATATATATATATATATATATATATATATATATATATATATATATTCATCATCCAAACACAGTTATGCATTTGAAGTCTTTTTTTTTTTTTTTTTTTCATAAACAGTTTTGTTTGATTCTTGTGAATCATGTGCTATAATTTTTAATTCACTGCCACAAACCATAGATATTCAACAATCCAAATCCTTAAGTCACAATAATGCGTTAATTTTAATATGAAAATTTTGTGAATTGATTACATGAAAGTAGTTTTCTATGAATTGGCTCAATCAAATTGATTGCGTATATAGTGCAAATGTATACAGCAAGTATTTTAAATTTTATGGTTTCTCAAAATTATCAATCGCAGTATAGTATTTCGATAAAATAAAAGTCAATCCCACGAGGAACAGTTTCATTGAAAATTCCCAATTATGCTTACTAAGTATATTAAACAGATTGAGTTTTGCAAATAAGAGTTAAGTTGAATTTAAATGACAAAAAACTGTAAATTGTTGAGAAAATATCAATTAAATGTACTTAGGATTGACTTCCTTCCTTATCCCTCTTTTGTAATGACTATGTCAATTAAGAACGTCAATTAACCTAACAATGTTAATGCCACTTACTCAAATCATCCATGTTGATTCCTCACACATGAAATTCATAAGAAAACCTAATAAATGTTGATTCCTCACACAATTAACAGATTTTCCAGACATTAGGGTTAGGGTGTTTAAGCAATTGATACATTCATTTCATTCCTGACAATTAACGTAACAAATATTCTTACTGTGATCTAGGGTTCAAGATATATTTTCCAATCATACCTCAAACAATCAAGAATAAATCATTCCAAAGCATAAATGATAAGAATAACAACATCAAAACATAGATTAATATCTCAAAATATCACCATGATACAAAAGAGTTTAAAGGAAGTGCACCGAATCCTAAGAGAATGAAGTTAGCCATGTTAGCAAAATTTGGGTCATGTATATATATGATACATAATTTAAATGTGTTAGGGTCATTATTTATTAAGCCAAATAATAAAGTGATCTGACTAAATTAAAGTTTTGACTAAAGGCATACGTCATGAAAATAAAATTGTGTAGAGACCATAGAGCAATTTTTAATTTGATGAGGGGTCAAATTGGAAATACTAAAACTTAAGTAATTAACCTAATTCTGGTTATCTAAAGGGTCATGGTCCCCTTCTGGGAGCACACACACAGAACGTAAGTATCAGTCCCGTTCCTTTCTTTCTATCCCCATCAAGAGAGAAAATCAAGAGGGAAATACAAATGTTCTTCAGGTGGAAGACCATAAGATCAATATAGTGCTCTACAAAGACATCATCATTATGGCTAATTCAGGTACGTTTTCGCATTCAGTTTACAGCATGTTTATTGGTATGGGATTACGTTTATGTTTGATCGTTAGAATCAAAATCAAGAATATTATTATTATTATTATTATTATTAATTTTCCAACAATTGGTATTAGAGCCGCCCATATTTGATTAATGTCTGTATAATTTATAGAACCCTAATTATGAAAATTAGGATTAATTTTGTTTTAAACAATTCAAATTACCCAATTTTATGAACCCTAAGCGGAGAATAATCTCTAATTTTCGTGAACCCTAAAATTTAAATTTGGGGGTAACATCCCCAATCTAATTCCGCTTGCGATGGAACCGTGGAGGAAGCTATGGATTCTTCTTCTTCTTCTTCATTTTCCCTTTTGTTTCAGTTTAAGTTTCAAGTTTTACTGAGAAAGAAACAATGTTTCAAATTTCAATTTTTCTTGTATTGGGTTCTCTGTTCTTTTTTTAATCTTTTGTTTTTATTTAATTTTATGGGTTTGGAATTGGGGGTGGTGTTTGTGGAGTTCCCAACACAGAGAATCTTAGGTAAATGGTGAATGTTTCCACATATGTGACTGTTCTTATTTTATTGTCTTTAGAAAAATTTGATGTTAAATTCCCCTGTTTAGGGTTTGAATGATTACTGTTTAATCCCCTTTTAGGGTTTAGAGCAGTATGCTAAAGAGACTCATAACTATCTCTGTTTCATCCCTAGTGTGATTTTAGGGAGATATTCATCCTTTATGTATTGGTGGAAAATGAGGTCTTTTTTCATCCTTTGATTTGTTCAAATGAGGTGTTCATCCCTAATGAGATTTTAGGGAGATGTTCATCCTTTATGTATTGGTGGAAAATGAGGCCTTTTTTCATCCTTTGATTTGTTCAAATGAGGTGTTCATCCCTAATAAGATTCTAGGGAGGTGTTCATCCTTAGTAGAATTCTAATGAGGTGATTCTCTTTTGAATTAGTTTGCAAATATTAAATATTTGGTTTTTTTATATAAATAAAATATTCAATTTTTTGGTAATTTAATATTTTTTGTGAGCAAATTGAGTCAAGAAGTCACCAAAGTAACCTCTCTTGAATTGGGCAGTTCATAAAAAATATTGAATGTTAGTGTTTGTGTATATTCATGCGAGTATTAGTCGGCTCAAAGGAAGATTAATATTTGGCCGAATTGCATACACACTTGTAATGATAAACATGTGATAATTATAAGGATTTGTTTTGTCGATGATAAATCAATCCAAAGACTGGTTTGTTGTTGGACGTGTTTTATTGTCAATGTTTGATTATTACAACAAGATACCTCTAGCGAGTTAATATTACCTGTCCAAAGACTTGATATTGATGGTGCATTGGGTGTCTTGAGATGGGTTAAACCACTATTCGAATATATATTATTTATTTTTTATATAATGTGAGCATAATTAGTTTATTTCTCGTGTTCTAAATTCAGCTACAATTGCTTCACGTATCCGCCAATTTAAATTCCGTTCCGGTCCTCAATGGAACAAATTTTAAAGACTGGAAAGAGAACATTGATATTATTCTTGGTTGCATGGATATGGATCTTGCGTTAAGGACTGAGCAACCCCCTACTCCTACGGATTCAAGTACCTTTGAACAGAAAAGAGATTATGAGAAGTGGGATCGCTCAAATCGCATGAGTCTAATGATCATTAAGCGCGGCATCCCGGAGGTGTTTAGGGGCACTATTTCTGAAAACATCACAAGTGCCAAAGAAATTCTTGCTGAAATTGAGCAGCGCTTTGCAAAAAGCGATAAGGCGGAGGCAAACACTCTTCTTCAGAACTTGATCTCCATGAAATATCAAAGCAAAGGAAATATCAGAGAGTACATTATGAGCATGTCTAATATTGTTTTTAAACTCAAGACACTAAAGCTTGAACTCTCAGAAGACTTGCTCATTCATTTGGTGTTGATTTCTCTTCCTGCAATGTTTAATCAATTGAAGGTATCTTACAACTGTCAGAAGGATAAATGGTCTCTTAATGAGCTCATTTCACATTGCGTACAAGAAGAGGAAAGACTAAAGCAAGACAAGACAGAAAGTGCTCATTTTGCAAGCACCTCCAAGGCTAAGGGCAAAAGAAAGAGATCAGAGGATCTCGAGAAAGAAGTTGTTAAGGGTCCAGAACAAAAGAAA